TGAACTGTCTCTGAACTTTCTCTGAACTGTCTTTGAACGGTCTTTGAACTTTCTCTGAACTGTCTTTGAACGGTCTTTGAACTGTCTCTGAACGGTCTTTGAAAGGTCTCTGAAAGGTCTTTGAACAGTCTCTGAACGGTCTCTGAACGGTCTCTGAACTTTCTCTGAACGGTCTCTGAACTTTCTCTGAACGGTCTTTGAACTGTCTCTGAACGGTCTCTAAACAGTGCTTAAAGGTCTCTGAACGGCATCAGAACATACTCTGAACAAAGGCCCTCTGAACAGTACTAAACGTCTCTGGACAGTACCAAAGGCATTTTAAAGGGTAAGGAAAGGTCCTCTGAACAGCCCCCCAAAAGGCCCTCTGAACAGTACTAAAAGGTCTCTGAACGGCCCTCTGATCAATACCAAGGGTCCTACACGCCCCTCTGAACGGCCCCCAACGTCTCTGGCCACCACCAAAACGACTCTGGACACCCCCCACCAGCACCAAACGCGGCCAGACCCCCCGGCAACAATGAGCAGCGCCCGCAGCGACCGCCGCCCGCCGGCCAGCGCCGCCCCGCCGCCGCTGCCGCCGCCCCGGAGCCACGCCGCCAGCCCCCCGCCCGCGTCGCGCATCTCCGCGTACGCGCGGCTCGACTTTGCCCACTACACGTTCTTCGTGCAGACGCTCCAGGTGGTGTTGGGCCGCAAGGCCGGCGCGGAGCTGGCGCCGGCGTTCCCCCACTCCGTGGACGTGCACCTCGGCGCCAAGAAGGCCATTCTGCGGCGCCACGCCAAGATCTTCTACAACTTCGGCACGCAGCGCTTCGAGGTGCTGGTGCTCGGGCGCAACGGCGCGTTCGTCGACGAGCGCTTCGTGGCCAAGGGCCTCACGGTGCCGTTGCACGACCGCACCAAGATCCAGATCGCCGACATGGCCTTCACGTTCGTGTTGCCTTCCGTGGACCCGGCGGACGCGGCCGCGGCCGCGGCCGGCGCGCCGCCGGCCCAGCTCTTTAACCCGGCGGACGCGCTCAACTTGCGCAGCAACTTGTACCTGGGCGCGGCGCGCCGCGACTCCAAGGCCGAGCTCGTGCGCCGGCTCTCGGTGGCGCGCCGCAAGTCCTTGGCGTCCTCGCTGAACGACGAGATCAGCGCGCTTTTGCGGGAGCTCGAGACGTGGCACGGCGACGCGGCGCCGGCGCCGGCGCCGTTTCCGCGTGACGATGAGATCAACGAGATCAACGAGATCAACGAGATCAACGAGATCAACGAGATCGACGAGATCGACGAGATCGACGCGCTTGTCCACCAGCACAGCCTCGGCGGCGCCGAAGCCGCGGCTCCGCCGGACGGCGCAGGCTCGGTGCTGCGCGGCCCTCCACGACCGGCCGCGCCAGCGACGCGTGGTCCTTCCGTGGGTCCTTCCGTGGGTCCTTCCGTGGGTCCTTCCGTGGGTCCAGCCCCGGGCCCCGGCCCGCATGGAGCCGCCGGCACCCGCCCCCCGGCGCCCGACCTCGCCTTGGACATCCGCATGTTGGACCA